GCGCAGGTTGAATGCGGATTGGGCGCTATCATGCATCCAGTCTGACTTGCGCCACAGAATCGCCAGGCGCCCAGGCTCGGAATGGCTTGACAACAGGTGCCAGGTGGCCTTCAACAGTGTCATCAAATGTGATGAAGGGGGATGGGTGCTGATCGAAGACTTGGTGAGGCATGAGCCACTATGGACCCATGAAAGCAGACGCATCACTGAAGGGGTCTCAAGGACCGATGACCAACAGAAGAAGAGAGTGTACAATGAAAGACTTCAGCTATTGTTCCAGGGGAACATGATTGCAGGCACGAAACGCAACAAGGCCAAGATTCGGTTGCAGTTCCTGGGTGTGAGAGTGAAGGACCCCGGCACGGAAGTTCTTGGATCAGCAGGTTCGAACATGTTGGTATCAGTTCGGGACCAGATTACGGAGATCCATAACAACGACCATTGCCGGCATGGCCAGAGGTACCTGAACCTATGCAACGGCTGGGTGAAGCCATGGGCAGTTCGGGCTACGAGTGGTCACTCTGCACATTCAGATCCCCAGAACAACTTGCTTCAGTTGGACAAGAACAGGTTCGCAATATCTCCATCTATGACCCTCTTGCAAAGTCTTGGAGGTGCGTTCCACGCTACGGCATGCCGCAACTTGGATTCCATTGTCACGCAAGGCATCATGCCTGGTTCGGAGGACCCCGACGGGGACTTCGACCATAGGCGCCAATTCCGAGGCAACCAAGGTGGCAGACTCCACAGCTATTGGGGGGTGTTTGCGCCGTTCGATCACCGGAATGCAACGACCAAGATGCGAGTACATGGACGAGACGCCAAGCACATGCCATTGGCGGTCCTTCATGTCCCATCGCAAGATCTTGCACGAGAGGATGGACGTATCACAGACAGCGGAATCATGATCGTTGGTCGAACGATACCTTTCCATTTCGTCAAGGAGGTATGGTTTTGCGTCCCTGATCCTCGAGATACACACTCTTTCGCTCTGGTGGAAAAGATCTACGATGAACGGTTGGAGAAAGAGCTGGTGTTGGACTACAATGCGTCACCGTTGCTTCCTGAGTTCGAGAGATACCGAACGCCAAGCAAGATCATGGAATTGCTTTGCGAGATGCCTCCTGGACCCCACGACACAAGCAAGGAGCAGATCATTCGTGACCTCACGACTGTCCTGGAGTCCCACATGGAGAACACGGTTCGGCATCACTACATGGACAAAGGAATCAAGTTTGTCATCAAGAATTGGCGACCCGAAGACCTACGCAGAGACGAGGATGGACGGAGAATGAGGGTATGCCCGGCATGCTACAACATTGTTCCAGCATGTTTCTCCCGATGCCCGTCTTGCTGGTCACAGTTCGTTTCGAGCGGATATTACCAAGGTTCTCCACAACGGGAGACTCCTACGGAGATCCCCAGTGACTTCATTGCTCAGACAACGGAAGCCGCAGCAGCCGCAGTGCCTGAGGCGCCCGAAGAGGAGCAGGAAGCCATGGAGGTAGAGACCGTTGCGGAACCTGAAGAAATCCCAGAACCATCTGTCGTTGCGGAAGACGATCCAGAACAGGAAACTGATGAAGAAATGGACGTTGAGCCTGAAGAGGACTTCGATGACGCAGTTCCGGAAGCAATCGCACAGGAACGTCGTCCCGTCT